GTAGCCATTTAAATGTGTACACCTCGTCTTTGCCATTAAACTGATTCGATAAGATTGCATCGGATAGATGGTGTAATAACATATCTCGCTAATGCGATATCGCACCAAACATCTCACGACTTGATTTGTAACAGCGACAGCACTCCTCTGCATTTGATCGCATTCGCAATGCAACGCGAATTGAACAAGTCAATTATACCGGGCGTTTCAATCTCGCGAGACATATCCGGAAGAGACTAGCATACTTTCTTTTCATTCATTCATTCGTTCATTCTTCCGGATCCTTATCGAAAGAAAACACTTAAATATTTATATAAAAAATTATAATTAATATTTTTAATCATAAAATATTTTAATAATTGTAAAGAGTAAATTTTCTTTGTATAAAAAATAAAAATTAAAACTTTTTGGTGATAAAAGATAACTGATAAAGATAACTGATATACAAATATAGAGATATATACATAGATAGCTAGAACAATATAATACATAAAATAATATATTAGAATAATTCGTATTCGCAAAATGCGTCATTCGATTATTCGATAGGTGGAAATCAGAAATTGCGCGGCGAAAAAAAGAGAAAATCGTTGCAATATAAGTTTCTCGAGATATATCTAATAGTTCATAATCACACATTCCATATAGCATGTCTATTTAACTCTGTGAAATAATCCTCTCGCATCTGCATTTTCTTTCTAAATTAAAATTGTCCCCCATATAATCGCGCATGCGCGTGACGGGAAATCATTGACCTCGTTTTCCCTTTTCGACGAGACCTTAATTGTCAGCGGCATAATCAATAGCGTAAGAATCGCCGCGAAACGCGCGCGCGCGCGTGATAATCGGCGCAAATGTCACCCGCTATTATTTATCGTACGCGGTGATTGCACATAATGCGCGTAAACTGCATCATCGCGTAACTGCAACGAGCCTGCGATAAAGGAAAGGGCAGGGGGGAGAGTGATGACAAATTGTCGCGGCCAGGGCGACTACGAAATTTTAAATTAATAGCCCGCACACCTTGCATTGTGTGTGCAGCGTGCAACCACAGTGTTGCCAGGGATATCGTCGTCAGCTCGCGCTAATTGAATGCAATTTTCAGCGATGATATACGACGCGACGTCGTTTAAACCGTCGGGTTACGACGTGTAAAAATGTATATTTACCTTCTTAAGCTCTCCTATCGGCCAATACGGCAAACATGGAAATAACGGGCTATAATAAATTTGCTTTTTATCGCGCGTTAACTAGCAAGAGTTGAGCACGGACCACGACAGTTTCCTGATTGATCTCATCTCTCCTGTACATTGTTTCCAACATAGCTTGTTCGGGGTTTTCTTTTTTTTTTCTTTTTTTTTAATGAGATTGGGTCGAAAGGTAATTTAATAATTCTGCATAAATAGGTCTCTTGCGTTAATTTTCATTAAGAAAACATCGATCGCAAACTTTCAAACAGCGCCGTGAGAGAGAGAGAGATATGCACATATGAAAATTATAATTTCCTATAACAAAATTAAGATATGATGGAATTATTTTACAGAATAAAATAAATACATTATACAGAGTGACCCCGAACGTTCCAGCCAGACTTTGAGATCTTATAGAAAATAGAAGTTAGTTAAAAAAGAAATTATTTTATTTTCATAAAAGAAAAAGATTTTTATTTTTTATTTTTATCGTTTTTTTCAAGAAATTTATTTAGTTTCATTTTCTTTTTATTTCATTTTGTTTTCACCTTTTGCTCTTCCTTCATCAGAGATTTTTGAGCGATAACTTCTTAAGGAAGCATTTTTCGACCCATGTTTATAGGAAATTTTTTGTTCAGAATTAAATTTCCTATAAGACCTCAAAGTCTGGCTGAAACGTTCGGGGCCATTCTGTATATTATAAAGTATATCTGTATAAACTGTCGGATATAATTTCGGGAAGCTTATATCAACATTTTTTCCTCTTTATATTCTTTTAAGAATCCTATCTTTAAATATCCTTTAATTGTATAAAACTTCAAAGTTATACGAAAAAAAATTTCCAGATGATAATATTAGTTGATGTCTAACAAACCTATGATATTCGGTCAACATATATTATTATCCGATACATTACATACACTATTATTAGCATTGTACGAGAGCACGTTTTCTTTTTGAGAGAGCCAATCTTAGACTTGACCCGCTAAAAGAGCGCGTTATACACCAACAAAATGTGCAAAAGCCATCTCTGGTCACCGCACGTTCGTTGGCGTGTTGCTTCGTGATAATAACAGCGGCCGTTGCAACGCGAAGGCGAGGCGCGCTTTTCATTTCGCTGCTGCAACTCGAGTGTAAACGCCAAAAGCCTATAATTGCAGAGATTAAAAATGACAGCGAAAAAGCACCGCACCAAAAAAGTCACACGAAATTCCTCGATATTCCTCGTATACAATATTTTTCGCGGTTGCTCTCTCTCTTTTTCTCTTGTATGTAATTCTTGAAAAAATGTAAAAAATATCTATAGAGCTATCTACATAAGTCCTTTATGATCCAGAAATATGAATCTTAAACTTTATCTTTAATAATATGATTTAATAATAAATTTTTTAATAGATCCATTAAATTATTTCCAAGTTGGAAACGATTGGAAAAATCTCGCGAAATAAAGCTTCAAGAAATGCACAATTTTAAATTGAAAGAAATTTCATTCTTTCTCTTTTAAAATCCTTTAAACTTTTGCGAGATTTCGTTTGCAAACTGCCTCGTTAAATTCACCGTCATCGCGCGTACTCGATCAATAACGACTTTGTATGTCTCTCGCAGCGTGAGCGACCGATTATTTCCCATTACGAGGGCTCCGTAAATCGCGCGTGTACCAGCGCCGTCGTTAAGCAGCCACTTTGCCACGTTACGTAGCGGGGTAATGAGATTTCTCGTGTCTGCCGTGCGTCCCAAAAGATAAGAATCGATCCTAAGCCGCTATACGGTTACTCAGTTACACGTGCCGCATATAAATGCGGGGGTGTATGAAAATCCGTATGGATAACACGTTGATTCTCAAATTCTCGTATAAAGTATAACTATGCGCAAAATCGAAGCATAATGAATTAATATCAAGTATTAGCTTATCGAAAGTGCGTCAAGTCGTAGATATTTTTTTCGATAACTAGGAAAAAATATTATTGAAGTCCGTTCTTTCTTCCGAATAAAATTTATAACTTTAATCAAGAAAATACAACAAAAATTCTTTTTCGAAAGGAATTAAATTTTTGACAAAGTATATATCAATCACAAATTTATATGTTTTAGTAATTTCGTATAAAACTATTAAAGAGACTATCGATTGATCGAGTAATTGCGAATTATTAACAAAATTACAAAAAGGCGAAAAAGTGGAGTAACGGATAATTTTGCAACGAGCCGAATACGATTATGCGGTTCATTACTCGTATCTGGCATCGATATTACTTAACGCGGTTGGTTGCACGCGCTCAAAGTATCCATCACAATGTTGAAAATTGCGTTATAACCGCGGTTTTACGATGATAATAATAATAATAATAATAATCAAGGCGTAAGCGTGTAACGCAAAAAAAATGTTTCAGCAGAATTCGATCATAATTTGCGCTTCATCCCAGCTTTCGAGCCGACTAAATAATATGATGAACGGCGATTATGATAGCGGTGGACGATTTAACGATTAAATTTCGTTTACGAATAATGGAGTCGGTTAAATACTGCTGCGAGAAAAGTGATTCAATCTGCTCTTTTATCCGGTCGCTTTATGGCAGCGTATATTTTTGCTTTACATCGTTATTCAATTTCATTTTAAGCGTTATTTTTCCAATGCGCAAGCCCTACGTAATTATTCGCATGATCGCTGGAAATGGAGCACGTAAAAACTTTCTTTTTTAAGAATTAAGCTTCAAATGCTTTAGCGTTATATTTTTAATGAATTATAAATTACTTTATATTTAAAAAATTTTTTTATATATTATTTAATATTCTATTAATAATATATAACCAGATTATATTATAATCAAATTTAATTAATAATCTTGTAGTAGTTTATTTTGGCGAATAATAAAATAGGATTGTGATAATTTCTATTATATTATATATATATATATATATATATATATATATATATATACATATACATGTTTCTTTCTTATAAATTAAATTTGACCTCATTATTAATTAGGTATAAATCAAGTATACTCATATTATTGCACAATTATTGTCATGATATATTATTATTATTTGTTATTGACAATATTATATTTGCAATGTTATATTAACAATGTTATATTTGCTAATAGTAAAACAAACTCAATTGCACTGTAAATTCTAAATGCTGTCGATACATATAAAAGGTTTGTCGATAAATTAAACTGTAATAGCTTCCTGTAACAGTTATTCCAGAACAAATAATCGTTAACAGCGTAGCAATAACGTTGAATATAAATCCGGTTCAATTATCGCGAACGAGACATCTTGCGCAAAATATCCCGCGAAAGTTTTGCCCGCGGAAAGTTCACGTCAACAATAGTGCGCAGTCTATCGTTCGCACTTCGTCGTAAATTTACGACGCAACACAACACAATACAAACTCGCGAGCGACGATGAATAATGACGAGTCGGCCAATTATTAAGCCAGGAATCCGACGCCCGCAATTAGTGGAGAATTACGAGAACGCGTGCATCTCCCGTCCTCGCAATAATACGCACGAATGGCAGACATACTGGGCGGAACTTAAGCAACGGATTCGGCGAGCTATGCGAATCTCGAGATGCACAGCTTCCAAGACGCGCTGAAATTTGCACGATGCTGGAATAGGTACTTTAACTTAATGCTTCGGCAAAGATATAGAGGCAGGTTTATCGCAAGGATAGAACGAGTCGAAAACGTGTCGATCTCCCTGCCAAGTTTAAGGTGATCAACTCGTTTTTCGATTCATCATTAATCAATTCGATCGGTTATATTTCGCAATTTGAGAGGAGTCGAACAAAAGGGAAGGCGCTCACCTGGTCGCGTTGATCGTGAAAATGGTCTCGATGGAGCGACGATCTAGCACGCTAAGCAGATACTGGACGGCGATTAGGGCGAGGACGACGCAGGCGAGCGCCTTGTAGAGGTGGGCACGATGCCACAGTGTCACAGCTGCGGCGGCCACAGTCATTGCATGCGCGAGACACCATAACTCCCTCCTAGCCGCCGTTAGAGGAGCACCGCCGTGCACCACGAGGCGCTTCCCCCCGCTGGCCGCCGCTTCCTCGGCTGCAGCTGTAACCGCTGATGGACCTGGGACCGATCCAGTCCCTCTCCTCCTCCCTTGACGGGCACGAAGGGAGAAAAGGCCGCCCGGGACTCCTCACTTGCGCTCGCCAAGAGCATCACCCCCGTGGACCCTCGGGACGTCCCCTCGGACCGGGATGATGACGTCTGTAAAACAGTAATTGAGAAAGTCAGAAAATTTCTCGCTAAAAGCGCGTTCTGTTAATTATTATTGATAATTAATATCAATATTTTTACTATCGATTCTTAACATATATATTACACATATAAAGAAATATATAAATTGTGCCATTAATTATTCAATTTATATTTTTGCACTATTAAAATATAAATTCTTATTGAAATGTATTTCGGTACTGATTTAATTGTTATAAATTAATTGATTTTATCACATATTGATTTTCGTTTTTGACACACAATTATTTTTAATAATTTAGGTCGGAAAAAATATGGGAGGAGAGAGAGAGAGAGAGAGTAAAGGAACTAATTAATAAATATTATTTTTCTTATTTAGATATTTAAATTTAATAAAATATAACTTATTTAGATTTAATAAAAATGTGTGAAAGGCAATATTTTTACTAATTTTGTTCTGCAAAATTGTAAGAAAATAAAGACAGATAATTCAAATAATAGATAAAAAAAATAGTAAGAAATAATTATTAATAATGGGAGAGAGAGAAATTTTAATGTAACTGAAAGCATTTTCTCCTTTTATAAGATAAAAATGATTACTTTAGCGCAAAGTATATAAAGATACGTATATTTCTCGCGAACTTTCTCGCTCCTCGACCTCGTCCTAAAGCTTCCAGCTAATATCACGCAGTGCCATTAACACCGCGAGCTGCAAAATTTATCGCGAGAAAGCTTGTGGAAAAATGTAATAATATCGTAGTATTGTATATCTTCTGCAAGTTACGAGTCGGGCTCGGCGAAATAAAAAGGAAGTTCCCGAAGATATGGAGAATTAAAAACGTCATGTGCGCGGCTACTGAGAAAACAATTTATCCGCGAGCATTATTAATTATGTTGTCAACTTCTACCGAGACGCCACAATATTCGCGACACAATTTCGTTCTTTCATTGTCTTGGCATACGAAAAAAATATTGCATGTATTATTTAATCTTAGAAGAATCAGAGTACACATATATATTTTTTATTAATTTCCCCAAAGAACTATATTTTTCGATACTGAATAATATATAAAGAATATTACTAAATAATATCGAGGGTTTCATCATCGTATCTCTAATTTTAATACAAGCTATCAAAATCAGAAATTAATATTTTGTGAATTTAAAAATTATTCCTGTATTCCTAATGCTTTCTTAGCCAATATATATAAAAAATATGTAAAAAATTATTATTATATATAATTTTTATATATAATATTCGAATTTTAACATTTTATTCTCTTATAAAATTGCGACTTACACCTCTCTGTGATAAAATTCTGAAAATATGATATAAAAACAAAAATAAATTAGAAGAGAAAGAGTAAAATTGTTTTTCTAGTTATGTAAGTATATTTGACAAAATTGTCATTGTACAAAATTGTGTTTTTTTTCCAATTCAGCTTAATATATTCGAGATATTTATTTATTCAAGTTGACGAGTGTACTAATAGCGTTAGCGAAACACGGCGAATCCGATATGACGTTGCCAGGGAAATCGCTATCGCTATCAGAACTTCATCGGATCAAACTGTGGATTACTCTTACACCATGCCGACCGAAACTAATCCGAGTTTATGTGCCCGGAGCTACCGCGAGTGGTTGTATTTAACGAGTTGCCAGATTTATCGGCTCGCGACAGTAACTCGTTCCCCGAGTGTTTCGGCGCAATCTTTATTATAGCAACGCCCCTATTAAAACCTGATTTTCGACCAGTTTATTACCGACGACTTCGCGTTCCAACTTCATATTAAATAGAAATAGGTTGATTAATTCTTTCTTGATTAATTAATTAGTAAATTTATCGGAGTAAACTAAGAGAACATTTCCATGTGAGTTCAGATTCAGATACTGGAATCGTGCGAATCTTTTGCAATCTCTGAGTTACACACAATAGCGGATCGAAGAGGAAATTGGCTACGCTTGCGGTTCGGAAAGTGGAACGTAAGAGGATTAAGCTGACATGTGCGCTTTACTGGACGACGGATTGGAAATGATTAATAGTTTACAGTTTACTGGCTAATATATAGATGTTAAATGTTCGGAACTGAAACATAATTTTGAATTTTTGAGTCTAATGACTTTGCGCTATTCGAGACAGATCCTTTAAAGATTCCGTAAAAAATTAAAATCTCTAAAAATTCAAAAATCTAATAAGCCAGCTAATAATCATAAATTTTTATTAAGTTATGTATATATTTTATTATATATAATGAGAGCTTGATTTTTTCCAAAATCTGAAAGCTTTACTATTTTATATAAAATATTTTACAAAATATTTTATCAAAGATTAGAAGAAATTGCAATAATGCATTCATTTTCATTTCATTTGCAATTATGTATTAATTATTCGATTATTTTTTATAATTATTTTTTAATATTCCACATCAAATATTATACGCTTAAATTGAAACGCAATAACCAATAAAGTGAATCGTACAATAAACTACAAAAGTAAACTGAAAACCAAATATAATTTCGCCTGTAAATGTTTGATTTAACTTATTAAAACATTATATAATTTGCAATCAAATTAATTGGAATAAAACTGAATAAATTTGAACATTATTTTCTCAATACTTTTCATTGATTTATGGACTTCGTATTTTCATTGTTCTCTCATATATTACACTCACTGTGCAAGCGTTCGATTCGTTCTTTATTACCATTTTTCGATCTCCATTCTTTATTATAATTTTCTTTTTTTCCTTTTATATTAACATCCACGGAGACGATAAATATTCATTTCGAAGAAAAAAGATCTGGAATATTGCTATCATCCTCTTCCTCCTATCTTATGGATGTGTATGTATTTCGACAGTGCTAAGATAGACTATACCTTCGATCTATTCACACTGTTCGCTTATGTTTAGTATACAATCGCAATTCCAAATCCTCTTCTCTTCCTCCCTGTCTCTCTTATTATTACTAGCTATCCGCGCGTTATCGTCCAGCTCCATTCTAGCGTACGATATAGGGCGTCCTGATTTCTCTTTGAAAATTAATGATCGTCGGTCGGGATATTACAGTGACACTAATAGAGAAAGAATAAAATACAATCTCGCGTTATTAGGGAAAAATGCGACCGAGGCGGAATTTCACGAGAAAAAAATTACATCAGAGATATATTTTTCCATGTTCAAAATCTCGAGATCACATCAATTATATGATAATGAAATATTAATATCAATATAAAACACGAGAAAAGAAAGAAAAGTTTTCGATAACGATGTTTTATTCCTTGTTATTTTTTAAGGAGCTTTTATATGTAATTTTATTTCAAGAAAAATTTTGATTTTAAAAATAAATATATCATAAATGTTTAACTTTTTCTATAAAGATATTATTCGTACTGTATATAATAAATATTTAATGAATCTTCTCTCTCTTTCGACATAAATTATGACGTTTCATTTTGATAAAAGATACATTTCATACTGAAAACTGATATATGAGCGCATAATATTAATGATATTCCGATGATTAAACTCTGTTCCGAGTGACCAGTTCTGTTCGATATAACAATGCTCTTTTTTTACATCACAGCTGTGATACTCTTTTCCCGAGAGTCGGCGCGAAATGCGACATAGTGCTCCATCACCCAGAGTGGAAAACATCATTCGGAGCTTTTCCCCGCCACAAAACCACGCGACTTTCCGATTTTTCCAAGCTATTGGATTTTCTCGCTCGACAATTGTCGGAACTCTCGTATTTTCCGCGACCAAGTTGACGAACAAGAAGTCCCCTGTGTCTTCCTTTCTCTTTTTTTTGACAAAAAGAGTTCATAAACGCAACTTGATAAAAAGGCGATCGATAATTTCTAACTGCACAATAACCGATTAAAATCAAATATCTATTGTCACACTTTCGCTGATAGTGCACACTTTATTTAATAAGTTCGTCGTGATAATTGTCTTTTTATCATATTTCTCTCTTGTTTCACTTTAATTTCAGAAAAATGCGCAATCTTCATGTCCTCTAAATGATCATAATCGTTGACATTTATGATGGTTTCAATAATCGATTATTTGAATTGCGTAAAAAAATAATATAAGGTTACTACTATTTTTTGTATATACATCATATCGTATTCCGAATAATTACACAAATTATGAAATATTTATTACGAATATTTATTATTATATAAATTACAAATATTATAAAATGTTAGAATAGAATGTGTTAATTGTCTCGATATCTTAATAATAATCCCTTAATAATATCTCGGCATAAACTCGATGATTAAACTCGATTTTTCGAGATAGGTACCGATATTTGCAACAAAATACAGAATGTACCATTAACGAGCTTAGTTTGTCATCGCGGTCGATTTGTTTTCGTTGCCGCTGGCGTCGTTTACTCATGAAACATGCGATCGTTGTAAACGATCCTCGACAGGCAGAAACCTATGGACGACGTCGCCAATCCGTCTCGCCGCAAAATACGCGACCGCGGAAAGAAAAAGAGGCAAATAATAACTCTTCCCCTCGTTCGCGATAAATTTGTGACTCTGTCCCTCGATGATAAAATCAGCCTCAACAGGCGAACATGTCGACGGGGAGTAATTTTCCCCTATTCCGGAAGTATCACCATGCAACATCCCCATCGTGGCCGTTATGGGAGTGTAGACATATTTTTTCTCTTTCACGACATTTATATTAATCGTTACAACTTCTTTGAAATTACGTCCACCCTACAGCTCGTACCCTATTGACTCGATGGGTCGCTCCCTTCTCTCGTGGCATACCCGAGATACCCTCTTCACTTTCTGTTTCAAGTCACGTCGCGATACGTCACGTCAGGTTGCTGGAATGGCTGTTGCAACGATACCCTGAAGTTTCCTGCGTATCTGATGTAAATTTCCTAAGTATGCTGTGTGCGTCGGTTTTGCAAGAGATAATTTGTACAATTATGGAAGATGCAAATCAGAATTCCGCGGGGTGTTTTATGGTGGAGATAACATGTATAATTAA